ATGTAGGGTAAGACCCAGGCCAGGAGGAGCCTTACAGGCAGAGTGAAGGTGATTCCGGTGGGGGTCAGGGTTCACTCTGAATACGAAGTAGGGGCATTCTGCGTAGAAGAGAAATGGCGTCTGTACGCAGAGATGGGAGTAAGGAAAACCAATAGTTCTTCTCTATTAAAAGACCCCCTTCCGGCTGCAAATTTTGGCTGTGGGAGGAAAAGACTGGATGGTTCTTGAGAGTACTACTGGGCGATTGCAGCTGTTGGCAATCTTCCTTCACTGTTTAAAAATGAGGATGGGAAACTCTGGATGAAGCTAAAAGATCCCTCCTTGCTTGGGCACCTGAGAGACATAATGGGCGAGAGCTTGGGGGGGTTCCGGAGCCTCGGACTCGCTTCCAAATCAGCCCTGGGTCCTGATTGGCTGTTTCTGCCTGCCTCGGTTTATTCCTCTTGCTGGTTGGCCAGGTTATTTTCTCCCAGGTCAGAGCCCTCTTCCAGCTGGGTCCTCCCACCTGCAGCAGTGTCACCCTGGATTGGCTGGGCTCAGAAAGGCCAGGCTAGCTTGCTTCTCCCACCATCAGATTCTTCCTCATTAAACAAATGAATCACAATCCTAATTAATTTGAGCAACAGAATTTATGTAACTACTCCCAGCAGGGTGCCTGCTCTCAGCCGGCAGCGAGATTAATTCCCCTCTCTGGGAAATTCCTGCAGTGCTGGTCAATAAACCTTAATGATGACTGAAATCTCCCATCTGTCTCTGCTCAGGGCAGGTAACCCCTGCTAACCAGACCCCCAGTTGTCCTGACGCAGTATCCCCAGACACTGGGACAAGGACAAGACTCCCCTAGCCAAGATGAGTTATGCAGTGCACACAGTAGGTGCTCAGTTAGGGGCAGGGACTACCTGTCAGGACGTTCAGGATTCAAGATGCTCTGAATCACGTAGAACCCTCGGGAGGTGTTCAATGTCCATAAACGGGAGAGAGAGGCTGTGCTGCTTACAAGGCGGCCTCAAGATCCCGAGCTGCAACCCTCCAGCTGCTCCCCTCCTTTACTCCCCACCACTTCCCGTGACCATCCACTCAATCTTCTTACTATTTTCAACTTTCCAGACTCAGAGATTTGGCTCTCGATGTTCCCTGCCCTTGAACCGTACCAGCCTTTTCTCTCCCAAACAGACCTCATGCTGGCTGCAGGGAGGGAAGAGAAGCCAAGTGGAAAGTGTTCTGGAATTACTTCTAATTCTGGCTCTACCCCTTACCCGTTGTACTTCACCCCGCTCTTAACCTTTCCCTTCTACGTAAACCACGTGAGGTTCTTGGGAGGATGAAATAAGAAAACATGGTCAAAATATATTGCAGGGTGCCTGTCTCATTAAGTTAGCGACAGGCAGTGTTTCGGCAGTGGGGACACAGCAGTGCTCAGGGCAGACAAGATTCTTGCTCCCAAGAATTTAGTTTCTGGGAGGCTAGAAGAGAGCAACCATGTGAGATCATCTTAGGGATCATCGCTAAGCAAAAGCAAACTAGGGATGTGTTAGGGAAAGGACTGAGGAGCTCTGAGAATTGCCATTCAAGTCAAGACCCAAATGACAGGAAGGTGCTAGACACATGAAGCTCTGGGGAAGTGGCATGCCAGAAAGAGAGAAAATAAATTGCAGGGGCCCTGAGGTATGGGCGAACTTCATGGGATAAAGCTGAGGGTTCTGTTCTGTCTTACAAGTGACCAGGCTTGGGCTTTGATAGGACTGAATAATTTGCCCACTCACCTACCTGGGGGATGCGGGGCTCAGGATTTGAACCTATGTCTTTCGCCCTTCAGCATGGCATGCTTGTTGCTGCAGCACGAAGGTGCAGGAGAAAGAAAACGTGAGTGGGGGTTAGGTGAGGGACTGACTGTCTCGTCCTTTCACCAGCTCCAAACCCATCAGCGTCTTCCTGCAGGATCGGGCCCCCTGAGGGCTTTCCAACTCCACCGGCCCCAGGTGTCAATGTCGGGGACCACTCACCCCGCAACTTCCTCAGCAGGTCCATTTCGATTCTGTCTTCATTTTAAACAGGGACAAATCAGTTACTTTTACAATTTGGAATATTTTTTCCTCACATACTCATTGGAGAAAATTAAAAACATATAAAGTGAAAACCCCAGCCTCAGGGATTTTTGTTTTTCTGGCAGGTCCTGATGCATAGGGGTACTTTGTACGATGTTGAAGGGGTTGTCTATATGGTTTGGAATATGCTTTTTCCTGTCATGAAAAACAAAGTCTGGGTGGACCAGCAGTTAGCGTAATGGCTATGTTGCTGGACTCCCACGTAGTCGACTGCAGTTCGCGTCCCGGACCCGGTGGCTTAAAACTCACTCTGGGCGTGTGTGCATGCGTGCC